TTACTTTCTTCTGGGTTTATAGAAACCATCTCCATAAGGGTAGAATGATGTTGGATGATAAAGACAGTATTTTCTTTCACAGCACATTTCAGAAGTCAAATACCAAGCTGCAAGATGTCAAATGCCATCACATTTTAAGTCAATCACTATGGGAAACCTTCTGCTTCTCAATTCTATGGGGGTTACATAGTCCATTCATTCACATGTACAATTAGTTGACAAAAACCATCTCCATAAGGGTAGAATGATGTTGGATGATAAAGACAGTATTTTCTTTCACAGCACATTTCAGAAGTCAAATACCAAGCTGCAAGATGTCAAATGCCATCACATTTTAAGTCAATCACTATGGGAAACCTTCTGCTTCTCAATTCTATGGGGGTTACATAGTCCATTCATTCACATGTACAATTAGTTGACAACCAAAATTGAACTGTGGAATTAGAGGCATTGAAGAACATTCAAAGCAGCCAGGGACAGGAAGCTCTCAGGGAAGAGAAGTGTGTGCAGGGAGCCCGATTCTGTTGCCGTTTATTCCTTTTGGGAACACTTGCAGCAGTCTCACTGGGAAGGAACATCAAAAATGGATTTCAGGAATACAAATTAGTCATTACATCAGGCCCTAATCTTAAGAAAAATGAGCCCAGCGTTTAATGTGCATTTTACTCTAAAAACGGCTAAGCTCTAACCTCTCCATGGGTGATAAGGAGACAAGAATGGAGCTTATACTATGGCAAGGAAATACCTTGTAATTTTATTTCACACCCATGAAAGCTTAGGTCCTAGAAATAAAGACAAATTATAAATATATCAATCCACAAAAATCCAAAAACATAGTTTAAAAAAAATCAGGAGAATCAAGATATCTTTCTCATGCTATTATTTTCTCACCAAAAGAAAACAAAATTCTCTTTTAAAGACATTAACATCTCCAAAAAAAGGATATTAACATCTCCAATAATTTTCAATAGATAATGCTCAAATTCAATCCAGAATTAACAGACAAGCCTGTTCAAAGAATCAAATGACAAGCCTAAGAGCAAAAGGCCAAAAAGACCATGGAAATAGATCCCTGCATGATGGTGATGCTGAAGTTTCCCTTTAAAAACATTTATTTATTTAACGTGTGAGTGTTTTGTTTTTATGTGTGTAAGTGCACCACATGCATGAACTGCCAGAGGAGACCAGAAAAGGGCATTGGATTCCCTGGAACTGGAGTTACATGGTCATTATTCACCATGTGGATGCTGATAAGTTCTCTGCAAAAGCAGTAAGGGCTCTTAAACTGCTGAGCCACCACTCCAGCCCCTGAGATCCTGAAATTTTCAAACAAACTTAAAAGCAGCTATGACTAGTATTTTCGGGGAAATGAATTCTAAAACTTAAATATAAAATATTCATATTTGAAGCATCATATTCTAAAATATAACAACCACAATTAAAATTCAGGTTGGAGGATCAGGTTAAATACCACAAACAGGAGAATACTGGAGTTTTTACCTCAGTAAGAGTTCAGTAGAAAATATCCAAATTCATGCCTAGCCAGACAGAAGGAGAAAATAAAATACAGGAAAGAAGCAAAAGAGACATCTGGGACTCAGAGAAAAGATCTTACAAATGTGTGATTGAGATTGCAAAAGAAAACAATATGACCCAAAGCTTTGTGAAACTGATGAAAGATGCTAGAAAATATAAGGAGCCCTTGCCACCTCAAGCAGGATAACTATAAAGCAAGCCAGCTGTTCCTAGACACATTACAGTAAAACTACTAAGCACCAAAAACAAAATCTCAAGAGCTTTTAAAGAAAAAAAAAAGACACATCATCTTCAAAAGGATAACAAATGATCAACAGCTGACTTTTCACAGTTTGTAATAGAAATTTTAGAAACCAGAAGAAATGAAACGGCATCTTAAGGTGCTGACAAAAAATAACTGCCAGGGGAGGTAAGCAATATTCACAGTAAAATGAAGACAAAATTCTGAATTATTCTTTTATGGAATGAACGAGTTTACATTCAAATAGATGAAGTTTATAAAATAATCTGCACATGTAAAAGCTGACACCAACACTAGGAATTTAGAAAAGAAACACTGTCTGAACTGCCACATATACAATGGCACAAACCCCAGCCAAGTATGTAGAGCATTCCTGGCATTTTTCTCCTGGTACATATTCAAGCAGATGTGTAGGCATGTCAAAATCCACCAGCAGTGATTTTTTTTATTATTAATGATAACATTTAGAAAGCACCTGTGTTTTGGCACATGAACTTTAAATGTTTTTCATAACCCTTAGAAACAAAATTAGACAAAATCTATTATCTATTACCTTGTTTCTTGAATAGACACACCTCCATACCTACCTAATATCCATTATCTGCTCTTTCCCAATAGTCCTGATTTTATCGGCAGTCTCAGCTGAAAACAAAACAAAGCAAACAAATAACACACAAATTCTAGTCTTTTATTTATTTATTTAGGATAAAAATGTGTCATATGCTGGGCGTGGTGGTGCACGCCTTTAATCCCAGCATTCAGGAGGCAGAGGCAGGCAGATCTCTGTGAGTTCAAGGCCAGCCTGGTCTACGTAGTGAGTTCTGGGACAGCTGGGGCTACAGGGAGACCCTGTCTCAAAAAGACAAAAAAAAAAAAGTGTCATGTGATCTGGCCAACGGAATGTAAAGTCAAGTGTAAATTTCTGATGACACCCAGTCCCCAAATATTATCTTCTTGTTTCCTTCTGTCTGGCATATGTACACAGTTGTTATCTCCAGAGCTACAACCACGAAGGAGGAAAACTGCAAAGACTTCTATTATGATCTCTCAAGATAATAAGACCTGCAATCACGCCAATTTTTCCCCTGAGAGACCCCCACACTCTCTGGAATCCCAGAAGGCGAATCCCCTCCCTTTTTTCCCAGTGTGCTTAGCGTTTCCCGTGTCCTTAGTGCCAGTCCTTAGACCCTACTCCTGAGTCTTGTGGGGTTCAGTTCTAGTTCCCTCAGAAGACACCCCTACCCAACACCTGCACACCATCAATTTACCATGTGAGAAAATAAACGTGTTTTTTAAACCAAAACTTTTAAGGCACAGTTACATCTGGCTGAAATTTAATTCTTGACTGAAGCACCGCCCAAGAGCATGACTCATTCATATCCATCTTTACTTCCAACTACCTAATATGTACTGTTTTCTCAACAAAAGGATCAATGCATCAGTGGCCCAGTGGACCAAGGAATCATTCTATACTTCATGACATGTATCTGAGGTAACTGGAGGAAGACAACACCACACACCAGACCAAGGGATGTTGCTTAGGTTCAAAACAGTTACCTAAGCATAACAATTCTCAGAATACATGTCAAGACGTTCAAAAATGGCCACATTGCAGCTAAGTTCTACCAGCTGGGCATGTGTCTCTGAAGTCAGTCTCCCACAGAAAAGGCATTAAAACTTTGGAACCACAACTTTTAGAACAGCTGCTTTTCTGTAATCACCATAGATCAGAAATGGAGAGGAAGTTAATCACATCCTGGAAATCAGTGGAGGAAATCAGTAGACTTGTCAGAATGATGGGGAATGCAGCGACAGAGGAAATACAGTACCAGAATGAAAGTGTAACCCTTCATCCTTCAGGATGGTCCGAACAGTATATCAAGACTCATATATTTGATTAAGGAAAGGAAATATGTCCCATGTTCTATAAGGAATTTTTTGGGTCAAAGACCCTTGACTCCACTAATTCATTTTAGAGTTCAGAAAAGTCTTTACCTTGCTTTGATGATTGAGACATGTGCTTTCTATTCACTGACTGCCTCTCTTAATGAATCTAGAAACTGTTCTCTTCCATAATGTTGGACACTCTCTTTTGTTCTGTTTTAGGGTGAGGTTTAACTGTCACTTTCCAGTCCACAAAGCTTAGAAATTTGAACCACCTTTCATTTCTCTTTGCTAGCATACTTCCACTTGCAGGGAAGCTCTGAAGCCAGAGGATGTGGCTGGAGAGCAGATGAATGTTTTTCCTTGAGTTACTGTCATTTTCAGACAATCGTAAAGAAATGGATTATAGCGAGGTTAGGGAACTGGAACTATTTCTGCTGATCATGCCATTACCACAAATGACACAACTGTGAGTAAAGTTATTGTTTTGCATTTCTTCAAAGAAACATGCCAGGGTAGTCCTGACGACCAAGAGCTGATTCCTCCCATCCATGGATTTGCACATTTCTTAGAGGCAATTGAAATTTTAAACATCACGGAACAGATGTGTGGAGAAAACATTTTTTTTTAAATATTCTCCTTATTGGGGGCTAGAAAGATGACTGTGGTTTAGAGCACTGAGTGTTCTTGAACTGGAGAGTGGCTCAGCGGTTAAGAGCGCTGGCTGTTCTTGCAGAGTACCTGGGTTCAATTCCCAGTATCCACATGATAGTTAATAGCCATCTGTAACTCCAGTTGTGGGATAATCTAACGCCTTCTTCCGGCCCCCAAGGGCCAATACAGGTACCCTTACACACATGCAGGCAGTACACCCATATACATAAAATAAAAAATAATTTTTTTAAAAGAGCACTGGCTGTTCTTGCAGAGGACCCCAGTTCAATTCCCAGCACCCACATGATGGCTAACAACCATCCTTAACTCCAGTTCCAGGGGAATCCAGCACCTTCTTCTGACTTCCACGGGCATTGCACAACATGGATGCACTTACACACATGCAGGTAATACATTCATACACATAAAATAAAAGTAATATATAAAAAACATTTTCTTTATCATCTTTGCAAACTACTGGATTTTACTTACTACCTAAGGGAGGGATGGGGGTATTATTTTAGTTAAATCTCATAAGTTTCATCTGATACAATACATAGTCTATTTGAGTAAGTATTTCCTCTCCTTTAGGTAAGAAGCTCAGTCCTTTAGCATATAGAGTTAGGGTGGCCCTTATGTGACTTCATGATGGCCAAGGAGAGCACTGATTTCTGTTCTCCTCTCCTTTCTCTTCAGAAGAACGGCTACTCTGGAATGCTGTCAGATGGGTCACAGGAACCATCAGCTATGAGTATTTTCAGCCTTCAGCTGGCCAGCTGACACAGCATTTGGTTTCTCTTTCAGTCATATATAAATATGAATGGTGGTACAGACCCTGCTTAAGACCTGGGCATGTTCCCCATCTAAACCTTGACTTTGGGTACCCAACAAGTCACTTGATGCTTTGCTTTGCTTCAGAGATTTGTGGTTTATTCATTGTTTGGTTCAACAAAGGACACAGAAACACTGAGTTTCTTACCTGCCTTCGTGCTGCCTTCTTCCAATGAAATAAATGTATTATCTCCCTTAGTGATTAGATAAATAAATGGCAATGAGTGAGAATTGTACCAAACTGATGAGAAAAATGGAGGTGTACACATTAGCCATATGCCTATCTTTTCTCTGTGTTTCTATTCCTTTCCCCGAACATCTCTAGAGAAAGAGGGTCCACATTTCTGGCTTTCAAAACTAAACTGAAAGGATAAATATTTTAGCATCCTGTCTAATTGAAAATTTAAATCTATTTTAAATGAGTCCATATTCTAATGTTGTAAATTATATTTGCTTATACACTGTTTAACATTTTAGCATTGCATTCATTGTTCTTTAATAATAATTCAAATACAATAAAAGGGATGCTGAAATTCTATTTATACTATGTTAATATCCCTAATTGATTCATTTAAAAATATAAAATTCAGGTACAGGTATAAATGTTTCTGCTAGGTAAATAACACAGAAAATATGATGTGATGATGGGAGGAAGACTTTAGAAAAGCTGTTTCCTGATAACGTTTGGAAGAAAACATAAATATGAAACACATCCCTATTCTATAAAGAGATGTTAATATCTGGCAAAAGACACCATATTATAATTATGTGACAGTGTTTCAAGCACATAAGGAAATGTTTATTTATATAGATTTTCATATCTCCTTATTCAATAAAACATAAGTATACCTTTTTCAAAAAATATGTATCTCTGCCTATTCTAGGTGGCTATTTCTCCACGACTCATGCTTTATCAGGGTTTCCTTACTAGCCTATGTGTAATACCAATGGCCATAGTCAAGTCAGACATATTCATGTCATTATAAAAAATCTGGGCTCTTCATTTTTGCTTTGAGTTAAACATAAAGATGTAAATAGGCTTTTCACACCACAGTTGGATGTAGTGAACACAGTCTAATATTTGTAAGCATCATTGAGTGCATGACTGATGGATGCTACCTGTACTTAGTTACTTAAAACCTTGCTTCCATCAGCTCACTACATCATAACATTCCCAGAGATAATGTGAAAAATTAAAACGTCACTACATGTCACACATTACAATGGAGAATTTCTACCTCACAAAGGAGTCTATCATATGTTCATAAAATCTGTGAGCAACCCTTGGTCCAGAATCTTCTTCAAAAGGTCTACTTTCTACAACTATTGTTGTTACTAATTATTGCATCAGGAAGGGTCTTAACATGGAAACACAGGCACAAAGCAAAGTAAAAAAAGTAGATAACCAGCCCCAGAGCAGAGCGAGTCAACAAACAGGACACTTAGCAAGGGCAAACAATGTGTCTAAATTAATATTTATATTAAGGGCTTCTCACTGGTTCTGTCATTAGTCCATAGAGAAAGTGTCAGTAAGCTTTTTATTACTGTGACAAAATATCTGAGATAAACAACTTAAAGAATGAAAGATTTATTTTGGCTCACTTTTCTAGAGATTTCCAGTCCGTAGTTGCTTGGCCTTAACATGCGCAGCCTACAACAAGAGCAATGTAATGGCAGAGAGTACACTGTGGGGCAAAACTGACTGCATCCAGATAGACAGAAAGCAAAGAGAATGACAGGAAGGGTACAAGAACAAGATATGCTTTTCAATGACAATCCCCTAATGACTTCACACACACACACACACACACACACACACACACACACTATATAGTGTGTGTGTGTGTGTGTGTATGAGCATTTTGCCTTCATGTATGCTAAGTGCACCAGTGTGTACTGTGCCCATGGAGGCCAGAAGAAAGCACAAGACTCCCTCAAATTGGAGTCACAGATGGTTGTTAGCTGCCATGTAGGTGCTGGGAACTGAACTTGGGTCCTCTGCAAGAGCAGCCAGTATGCTTAACCACTCAGCCATCTCTCCAACACCTTACTTATATTTTAAACTTCCTATCTTTCATGTCTTGATTAAAGCCATAAATTGAACCATCAACTCAGAAGGCTACTACAAAGGGGCACAGTGCAGTTCCTTCAAAATGTGTCCTTAGCATTTGCTGTCCTGCTTTGTAACACCATGCTGAAGCTTCCTGGCTAATCCAAGGGAAAATGAAAGCAGTTCTAATCTCTGGTTTTACTCCAAATCTTGAGATGTCTTA